TCGAGGTGGGGGGAAAATAAAACCCAAACCGGGAATTCCAAGGTGGGAGTTTCCCTTTGGAATTTTTAAGGTGGAATTTTGTTTTTTTTCCGAGTTCTGGATCCTCCCCTTGGCTCCTCCTCTCCCCAATCCCACCCCTTTTTCCCTGGAGTTCCGACCCTTTTCCCGGCTCTTTCTCCCTAAAAATCCAAGGAAATTCCTGGAATTCTCATTCCCAGCCTGATCCAGGATGGGTAAGAGATCCCAAAATCCCCAGAAATCCCCCCAAAAATCCCGGGATTTGCTGATTGTGGCTTCCCGAGGGGGCGGGGGGGGGGGGGGGGGGGGGAAGGGGGTAAAAGTCCAGTTTTTCCTTGGATTTTGATATTCCCTAAAAACCCCCCGGTGGGTTTTAATTCGAAACTTGAATTCTTTCATTGTAATCCCATTTTCCTTCGAATTAATTGGGAATTTTGAATCCCTAAACTTCTAAAAACTGGGGAAAAAAACCTGGATTTGCTGGCTGGGAGCAGGAAAAACCTTTGGAAAAATCTTTAAGGATCAGAATTGAGCTTTTCCTTGATATTTTTGGGGGGATAAATCGCTGATTTCCAGGATATTTTTCCTGTTGTTTTTTTTTTTAAGGATAAAACCTTGGATTTCCATGAACTTTCACTTTTGGCTCGGTGGAACAAGTGGGAGGGGCCAAAACTTGGAAATTGTTTCCATGGGAATTATTGGGAATTCAAACTAGAGGGGAGGGGGAAAAAAAAAAAAAATCAGGAATTTTGGGATCAAACTCAGCCAAAAAAAAAAAAAAAAAAAGAGGAATTTTTTGCAGGAATGTGTAGCCAAAAAGACCCAACATTCCAACCAAAAATATCCCGATTTTCCTGGAATTTTTTTTTCACTCTCAAGTGGAATTTTTCAAGGAATTGTTTTGGCTCCAAGGTCCTGGAAGTCGATAAAAAAAAAATTGGGATTGATTGACACACCTAGAAGGACCTGGGAGCTGCAAAAAATCGGGAATTATGGAAGGAAAGAAATCCTGGAATGCTCTGAAAAATGAACTCCTTCAATTTCCTTGGGAATTTGGTTTTTTTTGGGAGAAGATTCCTGAAATTCTTGGGTTTTTTTTTTCCTGGGGTTTCTCTGTCGTTTTAATTTGAATTTTGGGGTTTTTTTCCCCAAATTTAATCAGGATTTGCCTCCCTGGAATTTGGAATATTTATTAAACTTTGAAATTCCAAGGAAATTCCCATTTTTTCCAGCCCTTGCTGAAATCCCCAATTTTTCCCCTCCTAATTTGGCGCTTTTGGGTCAAGTCAGGGAGCCAAAAATTGGGATGAATTCCAGTGGTTTATTCCTTGGAATGAGCAAATCCAAGGCCCAAAAATTGGGAATGGGGAATTGCATGGAATGGGGAGTTGGGGAATTCCATGGATTTGAGGCTGGGAATTGGGAATGGGGAATTGGGAATGGGAAATTCAATGGATTTAAGGCTGGGAATTGGGAATTCCGTGGATTTAGGGCTGGGAATGGGGAGTAGGGAATTGGGAATTCCTTGGATTTAGGGCTGGGAATTGGGAATTCCATGGATTTAGGGCTGGAAATGGGGAATTCCATGGATTTAGGGCTGGGAATTGGGAATTCCATGGATTTAGGGCTGGGAATGGGGAATTCCATGGATTTAAAGCTGGGAATGGGGAATTCCATGGATTTAGGGCTGGGAATGGGGAATTCCATGGATTTAGGGCTGGGAATTGGGAATTCCATGGATTTAGGGCTGGGAATGGGGAATAGGGAATTGGGAATGGGGAATTCCATGGATTTAGGGCTGGGAAATTGGGAATTCCATGGATTTAGGGCTGGGAAATGGGGAATTCCATGGATTTAGGGCGGGGAATGGGGAATTCCATGGATTTAGGGCTGGGAATGGGGAATAGGGAATTGGGAATGAGGAGCCAATGGAAGGCCCCACATTCCCGGGATCTTTGTGCCGCGGAAACTCCGGAATTCTCCCCTTTTCCAGCGGGAAGGTGCGGAGCGTGCGGGCCGGGCTATCCCAGCCCCCTGGAGGCCATGAAAGGCAAGTTTTGCATTCCCAAATCCCAGAATTTATCTGGGATCCAGGCAGGGGGAAAAAAAAACCCCAGGAAAAGCAGGAATGGCGTGGGGTGTGGTTTATCCGGGAATAACCGCTGGAATGGCGCAGGGCCCCGGGAGCGGCTGCTGTACCTGCCCTGCATCTACCGGAACACCGGGATCAACATTCCCGATTTCCTGGCCACCGTGGATGTGGATCCACAATCGCCGCAGTACTGCCAGGTGAGGATGCCCGGGAAATCGGGGGGAATCCGGGAGAATTTGGGAAAATCCGGGAGAATCCATGGATGTGGATCCCCAAGCGCCGCGGTGCTGCCAGGTGAGGCTGCCCGGAGAATCCCGGAGAATCGGGGGGAATCCGGGAGAATTTGGGATCCCAAATCCATGAGAATCTGGGAAAATCCGGGAGAATCTGGGAGAATCTTGGATAATCTGGGAAAATCCTGGGGAATCTGGGAAAATCTGGGAGAATCCATGGATGTGGATCCACAATGGCCGCAGTACTGCCAGGTGAGGATGCCCGGAGAATCCTGGAGAATCGAGGGGAATCCGGGAGAATTTGGGATCCCAGATCCATGAGAATCTTGGGGAATCCATGAGAATCCTGGGGAATCTGGGAAAATCCTGGGGAATTGGGGAGAATCTGGGAAAATCCGGGAGAATCCATGGATGTGGATCCCCAAGCGCCGCGGTGCTGCCAGGTGAGGCTGCCCGGAGAATCCCGGAGAATCGGGGGGAATCCGGGAGAATTTGGGATCCCAAATCCATGAGAATCTGGGAAAATCCGGGAGAATCTGGGAGAATCTTGGATAATCTGGGAAAATCCTGGGGAATCTGGGAAAATCTGGGAGAATCCATGGATGTGGATCCACAATGGCCGCAGTACTGCCAGGTGAGGATGCCCGGAGAATCCTGGAGAATCGAGGGGAATCCGGGAGAATTTGGGATCCCAGATCCATGAGAATCTTGGGGAATCCATGAGAATCTTGGGGAATCCATGAGAATCCTGGGGAATCTGGGAAAATCCTGGGGAATTGGGGAGAATCTGGGAAAATCCGGGAGAATCCATGGATGTGGATCCCCAATTGCCACAGTACTGCCAGGTGAGGCTGCCCGGAGAATCCAGGAAATCGGGGGGAATCCGGGAGAATTTGGGATCCCAGATCCGTGAGAATCTTGGGGAGAATCTGAGAGAACTCAGGAGAATCTGGGATCCAAAATCCAGGAGAATCCAGGAGAATCCAGGAGAATCCGGGAGAATCCAGGATCCTGAATCTGGGATCCCATATCCTCAAATCCGGGAGAATCTGGGATCCAAAATCCAGGAGAATCCAGGAGAATCCAGGATCCTGAATCTGGGATCCCAAATACGGGAGAATCCAGGAGAATCCAGGATCCTGAATCTGGGATCCCAAATCTGGGAGAATCTGGGAGAATCCAGGATCCTGAATCTGGGAGAATCCCAAATCTGGGAGAATCTGGGAGAATCCAGGATCCTGAATCTGGGAGAATCCCAAATCTGGGAGAATCTGGGAGAATCCAGGATCCTGAATCTGGGATCCCAAATCTGGGAGAATCTGGGAGAATCCAGGATCCTGAATCTGGGAGAATCCCAAATCTGGGAGAATCTGGGAGAATCCAGGATCCTGAATCTGGGAGAATCCCAAATCTGGGAGAATCTGGGAGAATCCAGGATCCTGAATCTGGGAGCCCAAATCTGGGAGAATCTGGGAGAATCCAGGATCCTGAATCTGGGAGAATCCCAAATCTGGGAGAATCCGGGAGAATCTGGGATCCCAAATCTGGGAGAATCCAGGATCCTGAATCTGGGAGAATCCCAAATCTGGGAGAATCCAGGAGAGTCTGGGATCCCAAATCCTGGAGAATCTGGGAGAATCCCAAATCTGGGAGAATCCAGGAGAATCTGGGATCCCAAATCTGGGAGAATCCGGGAGAATCCAGGATCCTGAATCTGGGAGAATCCCAAATCTGGGAGAATCCGGGAGAATCTGGGATCCCAAATCTGGGAGAATCCAGGATCCTGAATCTGGGAGAATCCCAAATCTGGGAGAATCCAGGAGAGTCTGGGATCCCAAATCCTGGAGAATCTGGGAGAATCCCAAATCTGGGAGAATCCAGGAGAATCTGGGATCCCAAATCTGGGAGAATCCAGGAGAATCTGGGATCCCAAATCTGGGAGAATCCGGGAGAATCTGGGATCCCAAATCTGGGAGAATCCGGGAGAATCCAGGATCCTGAATCTGGGAGAATCCCAAATCTGGGAGAATCCAGGAGAGTCTGGGATCCCAAATCCTGGAGAATCTGGGAGAATCCCAAATCTGGGAGAATCCAGGATCTCAAATCCTGCTCCAGTGCTGCCAGGTCCCGAAATCCGGTAAAAACCCAGGAAATTCCAGGAAACCCCAGAAAACGCCGGAAAAAAAATCCCAGAAATCCCAGGGAAATTTGGGATTTGGAAAACATTGGAATTCCCTTTCCTTTTCCAGGTTGTCCACCGGCTGCCCATGCCCAGCGTGGGTGACGAGCTGCACCACTCAGGCTGGAACGCCTGCAGCAGCTGCCACGGGGATCCCGGCAAATCCCGGGATTTCCTCATCCTGCCCGCCCTCGTCTCATCCCGAATCTACGTCGTGGACGTGGCCACCGAGCCCCGAGCTCCCCGCATCCACAAGGTTCCCCCTCTCGGCATTTCCCATTTTTTTCCTGCTTTTTCCATGCTTTTTTCCCTTTTTCCCACTTATTTTTCCCTTTTTTTCATTATTTTATTCCCCCCTCCGTTTTTTCCCGGATTTTTTTCCTGATTTTTTCCCCTTTTTCCCATTTATTTTTCCTTTTTTTTCGTTCTTTTGATTTTTTTCTCCTCCCCCGTTTTTTCCCTGATTTTTTCCTGATCTTTTTTCCCTTTTTCCCACTTATTTTTCCCTTTTTTTCATTCTTTTATTTTCCCCCCCTCCGTTTTTTCCCTGATTTTTTC